AGGGTTAGAAATTCCATTATAAACCAAAACTGTCTTGAGAAACAACACCGTTGCAACAGTGATTCTGCAACGCGTCTTATCGCCTACGAACATCAAGAATAAGCAAACCCGAAGATGATAAGCGTTGATAAAACAGCTGAAAAGGCTTCTTCCATTCTTCCAGGCAGACCAGCCGACCGAACAGATCAACGGCGCGGATCCTCGCGTGTGGTTTGTTTTCTCTTTTCTGAAGGACGCTTTATCTGACATTGTTTTGGGAAATGTCCGAAATGATTTGTGTTTTACTTTGCATGACATCGGGGAAAAATCTCATGACAAATCTGTAAGATTTGAAGGGCGTAAAGGTTTTGCTGCTAAATCTCTCATTGAGATCTCATTGGGTAAATCTCTCAAATTAATTATTCATAAAATTAAATACATATTAAACATTGAGATTTTAAACTTTATAAATTTCCTAATATGTTGAAATATACGTGTTAGCTTTATTTATATGTTTCTAGGGTTCTAGGCGTAGTTTTAAAACTGCGGTTTATTTATAGCTCAGAGTGATAAGTTTTGGAAACATCTCATGTTTTACGGAACAATGAACGCAATTTGGGGAGGTATAGCACTTCCGACGTACATTATACGACAGATATGTCATTACGTTGACGTTAGAATTGGAGGAGCAAGTTGAATTAGAATTTAAGCGAACATTGAATGGTAATTCAGTTGATCGCATTTAGATGGAAATTCTGAAGACTTAGAGAGAATTGGAAAAAGTCCAGTCAGCTCATTCAATCATTTAAAAATACGTGTTTCCCATATGGGATTAATTAGATAAAGCAAGGCAAATGTTTAAAACTAGCAAATTGTGAAGTCAGAAATAAACATTTTCTAAAAAAAGTCAAGTGTTGGCTATTTGAGTATGTGGCTAAAAACATCAACAAAAATTAAAACCTACTATTTAAAAAGGAAAATTCTTAGTTTTTTCATGTTTGTTTAATCAATTCTTATTAGTTGTAACTATTATCATTGTTATATTTTTTCTCTTATCGTTTAATAATGTTATGCTCCCTATTCACTATTTTTGCCCTCAACCCTTTTTTTATCATTGTATTGCTGGCAGCCCTTAAGCAGGAACCTCAAGGGTGTCGATAGCACCAAATTTTGTTATAGAAATTCTTATAGTTTTCTTCTGAAGTAGAACATTGCAATTGTATCTTTTCCGCACTATGTGTTAGTCTAATAAAGTTGGTAAAAAAAAATCTAGTTCTAAAAAATCGGCATGGTTTTGATGAGAGTAACTCAGTTCCAACATCCCAAGGAGTGTAACTCTGTTGTGTAAAACAGTAAATCGGTCTTCAAAGCAATTTGAAAACCATCCATTAAAATCTTAATTATGCCAATTTGTAGAATATTTGAGATAGTTTTGCTATGACTTTAACCCTAAAATAGGTCGATAGTTTGGCAATAACAACTGAATTTGTTTTTTCAACAAGACTATATCGAGATTCAGATTATTCGTGGTTAAAAATGCGGTCGATACATGTATCACTTTAAATAGAAAATTCGTAAGGTAACAAGTAATTCTTTGAAGCCAAAGATTTCTTTTGCTACTCCTCGTAATCAAATGTAGATAGATTTACTCTATATCGCGAAATATAAAATATGACGGTAAGTCATTTAGTTCGTTTATTTATTTAAGAATATTAAATATGTGGCGTAAATCCTGCCAAAATTGTGTGAAAAACGTTTCTAGAAACCATTTGGTACATTTCTGTTCTCAAATATCTTTACAACTGTAAAGTATAACAGGGTTTCTGGATTTAATTAGGGGTCTTAAATATGTACTCAATTGTTTTTTAATGTTAACTAAAGTCTTTTAACATATTTACGTTGTTAATTATATTTAATTACTCTAACAAATTAAGTTTTAACATTTCCTTGTTGATTCAGTTTTATTAATTAATGTTATATAATTAACATAAATTTGACATTTACAGCTATTTGTTTTCCATACATGTACGAGCTACGTTAATTAGGTGTCACGCCTGTAATGGAGATTTTGTCTCTGATGAAAGAATTTCCCTAATTTCATTTCTTCTTTAAGTTCTATCTCCCATGATTTACTTAAAATAAAAATAAAAACATTTGGTGATTATAACTTTGAGTGGGTACAAATACTTTGATTGAATTAAAAAATATATTTTGCATTATATAAATTCACTTTTTTCCACATCCTACATATATTTGTTAAATTTAAACAATGTTTGTAAATCCCAGGCCCTGAAGATGATCTCAATAAAGATCGAAACGTTGGCACGATAAAGAAAAATGTTTTTCTGAAACCTACATCACGATTTCTGAATAAAAATAAAAACATTTAAATCTTAAAAAAACCTAACTTGAAAATTGTTTATATTGGCTGACATTTATTTACAAGTCGTAGTGGTAACCGTAAAAGCGCTTTTTGTGTCAAGAAAATAATAAAAATTTAATAGTAGAAGCCCTACAGATATTCAACATTCTTGTCATTTTATGAAGTTTGAATTGGATTAATAAGTTCAATTTATATTCCTCAGTTAAACAAAATTTAACCTTTCCTTGTTGATACGCTTTCGCTAACCACTGTTATTTAATTAACATAAATTTGACATTTACAGCTATTTGTTTCCATACATGTGCAAGCTAAATAATTAGGTACCATGCCTGTAATGGTCTGCATTTTGTCTCTGTTGAAGGCATTTCCTAAATTTAATTTCTTCTTTAGGTTCTATCTCCCATGATTTACTTAAAATAAAAAAAATCTTAAAAAACGTTTTTATATTGGCCGACGTTTGTTCACAAGTCGTAGTGGTAACCTTAAAAGCGCTTTATGGGTCAAGAAAATAATATAAATAGAATGTTAGAAGCCCAAGAGATATACAACATTCGTGTCACTTTATGAAGTTTGAATTGTATTAATAAGTTCAATTTATATTCCTCACTTGAACAAAATCAGATAACTCTTACAATTTTTTTTTATCGTGGGACGAGCTCAATGTACCCAGTTATGTGTGGGATAACCATCCGACTCGCGACGCGTAGGTGTCGTAGATGGGCGATGATCTCACTGGATTCCTGACGTCCTTCGGGCAAAAATCGTTCACCCGTTTTTATAATTGCAAAAAAATATATTTAAAAAAATAAATTTGGCCAAAACGCGCGATTTGTCTCGTCTCGTGGTCGGAACAAGGCGGTAATTATGTCAGTGTGCTTTCATCCTCTCGGCTTCATTTGAATCTCGTCAGCGAGAGGTTTGCTCCGTTAGCTTTCTGACCTCCTTCGTGGAATCCGACCGACTTGCCGGAAGACACATCTACCTAATTCACAACCACCTGTGCTCTTATCGAAATTAAATTCTAATCTCGAAATTCCCAAAAGGCAAATGATATCTCGATTATTTTGCATACATTTCACTAATTAGATCGTCAATTAACAAAAATGGCAGTAAATATTTTTGGATCTCTTTGTCTATATTGAATCTTTATAGATTAGATGCTATAACGATTCAATATAGACAAAGAGATCCAAAAATATTTGGATTGCCAAGAATACGGATGCTGTATCATAGATGTAAAAAGAAACGAAGTACAGTTCAACTTTAGCTGGGAATATTTCAATTTACTAATATTTCTAACTACAAAACTACAAAATACGAATGTACACTATTCTTATAGTACCATTTATACAAATTACACTATTCTTATAGTACCATTTATACAAATTGAACAGTGAGTGTTTTCAATTGTGCAAATATCAGTTAATTTGTTAGATTTTATTGATTGTTTCTAATCCGTTTTGGTCTGATAAATCACTTCGATACGAATTTACGACAGTATTACCGTATATAGGTTTGTTCGTCAGTGATTATCCTGGTCCGCTACTTCTCGCTATGTACTTCACTATTGACAACAATTTTATTAGGTTTCGTGGTCTGCTTGACCAAATAAATTCTTTTCAATTAATTAAGGTTTTGGTTGAGGTATAAAAGTCAGTGTCGCAAGTGGGATTCGAACCCAAGACCTTCGCCTAAATCGCCGCTCCTCTACCATTTGAGCTATCGTGACTTAGATCCACTCGGACACTAACTTCCCATCTTAACCCCACCTTTTGAATTTTGAAAAATGGCAAAAAGGAAGGAAAATTCAAAAAGTGGGGTTGAGATTGGAAGTTAGTGTCCGAGTGGATCGATGTCACGATAGCCCAAGTGGTATATTAGCGGCGTATTTAGCCTAAGGTCGTGGGTTCGAATCCCGCTTGTGACACTGACTTTTTTATCTGAATCAAAACCTTAATTAATTGAATTGACAACAATCTATATGAACCAATTCTACCCTGAGTATTTCTGATTTTGCATGTTCGGTAATTAATATTAGATTTTAATATTTTATATGATATGTAGAGACGTGTTCAAATGTATATCATTATTGGTAGAAATGAAATAAACAAATAATTTTCGTTTTTATCACGTCAGACAATGCGGGTTCGGACGTTTAATGTGTTCATAAAGCACGTTGAGGAAGATGAGTTGATAATGGATCCAGCAGTTACACTTAAATGTCACAAATGGCATAGTACATTACGTCTCTATTTTTTAGATGTTGCGAAAATTCGTAATTTCAATGTCGTCATTTTCTCAGGGGTGGCCAGGTCGCATTGATTACGAGGACAAGCCAAGGGCTAACCGTGTGAATCCAGCAGGTATTCTTTGCGAGATGTGAGATGTTCGTGTTGATTACTGTCGACAGCAATTTTGTGATGGTTTTCCTCACTATACCTTTCTGTTTAACGCTCTCGGCACATTGAACATGTCTTTTCATGTTCTAATAATTAATTAAATTTCGTTCCTTTCATAATACATAACTATATGATTTTATGTTGTTATCCAACACGCCATTTAGAGAATGAATAAGTCAACTGAAACAATAATCTTTAACTCTTTCAGTGCATGTCTCGGAAGTTAGATTATTTAATATTTATGTTTATCTCATACTCAAGGCAAAGTTGATATCAAAACCGAGATACACAGGCTTCCGGATTCAGACGATCAGTCGACAAACAGCTTCGGAATGGCTGACCAGAAAGAAATTTACCAGTTGATGAAAAACAATTCTAAAATTCTAAACACTTACCAAATTAATTGCCCTTTCGATGATGTGATTATGGTGAGTAATTTCTTTACCTTTTACTATTTTCTAGCCAGCTCATACAAGTCATTCTCTTTGTCCTCTAAGTGTATGTATCATTTTTAATATGTTTTATGCATATTCGTCTTTATTAATTTTAATCAATTTTGAAGAATTGTTTACTTTTCTCTATATTCGCATGTACTGGATTTATCATGTGCAAACAAAGGATCATTCGTAAATTGAACGGCGGAATTTTTATTTGACTAAGTGTCTCTTCGATTAAAATTCTAACAAAATTTCACAACTTGAATCTTTTATCAAAATGATTTGTGAAAATTCAAGCCTGAGGCAAAGTATATATAATTTTCTCAATTTTTATTTTAAATATTCGCGTATTGTTTCCGTTGATTTCCCGATTTTTTCTTTTCTTGCCGTATTAATATTTAAAGTAAAGTTTACTCTCTGTTATGTAGATTTTACGATATTGAAAGCTCATTAGAAAATGATGTATCATTTGAAATTTTACAGAAAGAGGTTTTATTATTTAAAGAACCAATTTTAAATGTCCTTTTTCAATTTAATATGGTTTGAAGGGCGACGTAGGATTTCCTTTTTTTTTATCGAAATGTTATCAATTTATCATTTCACAATATTAACACAAATTCTTTAAATTGGATACCATTTAGACTTTTGCGTGTTGTTGTGACATGCTTAAAACGATGAGTCATTTGAAATAGTTAAGAATGTTTTTCCTGTAACTATTGAACAATTAAAAAACCGTGGTCAATGTTAATCAAATTTGTCACCACATCTAATCCAATTGTGATTAGGGAATTTCATTCTGCGTCAGATCTTTTTTTATTCAAGTACTTTGCTGATTTACAGTATATATTTTTAAAATAAATGAAAACCTCTTTTTGATCGTCCACGATATAATTAAAAACAATAGATATAATATATTATTTTAAAGTGTAATTATTACCGAAACGATCTTCAAATTTGCATGTTTGTACCTCTTAACACGTACATTTTATATCTTTCACACATCTACCATGTACGTACAATCAGCGGGAGCATCGTTCAGGTTGTGACTGCGTACTTTTTGCATAATGGATCAGCAACTTTTAAAATAATTGATTACCAAAAAGGTTTTTTGGTTTCGCAATCACGACCTTCAAACCTACTTCTGTTCTTTTTTTATTTTATTTTTTTAAATATTTTTTTTAAATTCTCTTTCAAAATAAACAAAGATTTACAAGTATTATTTCAATAATAGGAGATTGCAATCATGTTTAAAAACTTAAGATTATTACTCCATCTTTGATTTATTTGTAAACGTTTGACGTTTAGTTAATAAATTTTAGTTCTTTCATTGCAACTTTTGTATATTTTTACGATGAAATTAGCGCTCTGATTTAAGGAAACATTTTGAGCCTTTTCTTCTTATACCTCCTTATTCTAAATTAAACAACATATTTTGCAAAGTTCACTAATTTCGTGGTCCGCTTGACAAATTAAACATTACAATTAATTAAGGTTTTTAGTTGAGATGAAAAAAAGTTAATGGCACGAGAGGGATTCGAACCCACGACCTTCGACTAGATACGCCGCTGCTCTACTACCTGAGCTATCGTGACCTCGATCCGTTCGGACATCAACTCCCCATCTCAACCCCACCTTATGAGTTTTCCCTCCTTTTGCCATTTTTCAAATATCGTGTAATCGGTTTGGATTCTCGACGACAATTGAAATGGCGACGGAGAGCTTTAGTGAAGTGTACTTCAGTTAATTCATTAAATTCACTAATTTCGTGGTCCGCTTGACCAATTTTGCAAAGGTTTTCATTTCATCTGGTTGAAGAAGAAAGTGCACAGAACCGGCTGTAGGCAAAGTTTTGTGCATGTTGTTATTATTTTTTTCACAATGCAATATAAAAAAATACTTTCTCCGCTGATTGCCAAAATTTTGCAGTACGGTTCTCATAAATGAATTATCACTAATTTCTTCAATCTTTCATCTTGTGTGTTAAATTGTTTGTTATTAAACATTAGATTTACTATTCTTTGTTATTCTTCGTAGTCTCAGTTAATTTAAAAATTTAAACATGTCATCAAAGATGTCTTGTAAAATTCTTTTATTTTATCCTATTTGGAAGAGTAGTTTACACGTGGAAGGCAACGGTGGGAGATTTTTCTTTTATTATAAGTGTTAAACCTCCTTAATTGATATATTTGAATTTTTTTTCTCAAAATATTGCGTTTTCACCTTTAATTTTCCAATACATTGCAGTTTTCTCCCCCAATACAAGTGACTGCGATCCATTTAGTGTGTTTTTTGTGGAGTTTTTCATTTTATTTTTATGTTAGTTTTGCTTATTATTTTGTGTTATAGCCGTTATTGTGTGCTATGGTTTGGTTTTTTTAATTCACTTTCGTGCATGTGTTTGTTTAATGGGTTTGATTTCAGTCTGTCTGGTGTGTATTTCAGTGCTGCTAATTTGTGTCAGTGTGGGTGAGTCGTGACTTCAGTTGCTGTTGGTCTTCTTTGAAGTTGTACTTTTTCTTCTGTTTTTGTGATTGTTAAGCCTAGGATCTCGTTTTGATGTGTTGAATTTCGTTTCACCCTGTCAGTCAATACTTCCAGTCAGTATTTCCAGAAGTTTTAAACCAGTTCTAGTTTCTCCCATTAAATGATTTATCTTTGGCTAAAATTCTAGGACATAAGGCCATTAAAAAAAATTAATCTCAGTCCTAACCTTCTCGAATAATCCTCGTAAATTAATTATTCTTTTTATTTAAGGTTTTTTGCTTTAGGTGAAAAATTGTGTCATGAGCGGGATTCGAACCTATGACTTTCGGATGAATACGCCACTCTAACCACTTGAGCCATCGTGAGTCGAAAGGTCCTAGGTTTGAATACGCTCGGGGAACTACTTTTTTCATCTCAACCAAAAATCTTGGTTAAAAAGAATGATTAACTGGAATAATTAAACATGGCCAATTATGAAAACTAGTCAAATATGGATTAATCTATTTTAAATTATATCTTCTTTCTATCTCTAGCATTATATCATTATGGCAGTATAATTCAAAAACAATGTATCCATTTTATCATTTTATGGCTGTATCGATGAAAAAAGAACGCTCGTCTAACATCACATTAATCTTCTACAATATTGAAAAATTAAAAAAAAAATCCATTGATTAAATATAAACAAAATGTCCAAGTCCGTGGCTGTCTTTAACCTCGCTCTTATGTCGAAATTCATGAGAAAGGACGCTTCGATTTATAAGGATCCCCTTACTTTCACACGGTACCCCGCAAAAACTAAGAGCTGACCCAAATATACGAGGTCAATGGCAAAACTAAGAATCAATACCAGTGGAAGGTTTTCCCGCCGGGAATCTCTCGCCTGTTGGACTCGGGCAGAACGCGCCTGGAATGTAGTCGGCCTCCGGTCATTTCCTGTCAATAAGTTGCTAATTGCTACTTGTTAGTACTGCAGACTACAACGACCTGCTGTTTAGGCTGAAGGATGCGTAGTCCCTCGATTCCGCTAACATTTGGAAATGGCATTCCTACATTGTTAAACCTTGTGGATCCTTAATAGGACATAGGGTACACATAGAAAACCCGTGTATATTAATTTATTTAACCTTGATATAGATTATTAAAAAGCTTTATTTTTTCCTTATTGCGCTGTACGGTTTTACTTGTACATATGAAACTTTAGATTAATGAGACATAAATAATGATTCAGCTCCCTGTCTTTTAATTCCAATAAATAGTGATGAACTGTGTTGTCATAGAAATTCTTTAATTATTAAAGCTCAAGAAGAATCCATAAGCGTTCATGGAACAACAGACAGCAAAATATAGATAGCCAACGAGTTTAGCCCAGCCAGCATCCAAATGGATTCCTAAGGACTGTACCACTTTTGTCGCAGGCATTTTGGAATGTTGCGATAAAGTATGACTTGAGTAGATTTTTCGGGGTTAATTAATGTCCATGAGCTTGTTGCATTCGTATATTACTGAGTCAATTGTTCGGTTTCTTCTGCGTTTTATCTTGTACCACATCGTCGGCGAATCGCGCGCTCGTACATCCAGCAGGAGTAGGAAATCAAGAAGGAAATGATTAGAAGAGATGTAGGGACGGGTCTAGGGCGTTTTCTTCTGGAACACCTGAATTTATAGAGCTGGAAGATAGCAGGGCAGCATTTGACGGAAAACATTCAACTTTACATATGAGTGAAGGAGTCTGTAGTAGGTGTTTGGTCGAATTTTAAAAAAGTTCAAATTTTTTTGCTCGTTTCTTCTGAATCTAAAAACACCCAGGCAGCTTTTTTTAAATCACCCCGCAGATTACAGAAAGAAATCAGCAAGTTTTTTGCTCAAACGTTTCCAGCATTGTTTCTACTATAGCTGGTGAGGATATTGGCTCTGAAGCCAAATCTGGCATCATAGGAGCTTAGGTACAGAAAAAGTTAGGATTAAAATGAGTTGTACAAATATTCTTTTAAAGTATGCCTAGAAAATGTATTGGTCTTTAGCTGTACAGGCCGTCATACTTTTTGTTAAAATGAGTTGTACAAATATTTTTTTTTAAAGTATGCCTAGGAAATGGATTGGTCTTTAGCTGTACAGGTCTTCATACTTTTTCTTGGTCATCCTAATCACCCCAATACATTTGTAGGCACGTTTCAGTTTGTGTGGAATGTGGCCATTTCTTGGTTGTAAAAAGGTATTATTCAAAAATTTAAAACGAATTAAATCTTTAAATCAAAACGAAAGCTATTGCTTTCAAGCAATATTTCAGTCAACGTTATTTTGAATTTGATTACAATGCCTTTCAAAAGCAAAGAATGGCATTCCGATTTCAAATTCTCGCAGCTTTCCTAACACCGTTGATTCATATAAGACTATATATAGATACTTAACGTTAGGGATGTAAGTAGGTCGGGGCATGGCACGGGCTCGTTGGAATTGAGTCTGTGTCGTACCCGACCGAGGTAACGTTGTCTTGTCACTGTATT